GCTGGGACTCACGCGCTCCTGGTTCGCCCTCCACGCCCGGGACCCACGCGCACTGGCGGGCCCTGCGCGCCGCGCAATCGCGTGTTCCCGGGCCCGGTCGGCCGTATTTATAGGTGCGCGCGCCCCGCGCTCGTGCTCCGAAGCGCTCTTTGCAATAACACAGTATCACGTGTGGGGAATGAGACCTGGGAGGAAAACAAAGCCGCAGGCGGAGTCCGCAGCGGCGGGAGGCGACCGAGCAGGAGGAGGAGGAGGTGAAAGAGGAGGAGGAAGGCAGAGCCCGGCGCGTGGCAGGGCGGGGGCTCGCCCAGCCGGTCCTATTCCTGGGGCGCGCGGAAGCCAGGTGCTGGAGGCGAGCACGTCACCTCGGTACGCTCGGGCGGATAATCGCGGGTGTCCACAGAGCCCAGTGAACCACAGCCCAGGCTTATGCTCCCAGAAGAGTTACGGGGAGATCACCTGGAGCCTTTGCACTGCGACCTAGTAACCGAATCTAGCGTTACCCGTGGGCCTGGACACACCGGTCCTTGTTAACAGTTACGTGGGAGGGCACACTTTTCTACGTGGACATTCCCACCGAAAGTGTCGCTAACCACTGGGTTGTACCCCCAGTCTTTCGCAGACCCAGGGGGTGGCTGCCAAGATTAAGAATGAATAAAGGCATCTAGCTGCCTGGGTTTGTGAGCACCTTCTATGTGAGCCAGCTGTTTTACAAACACACCCCGGACACTCTTAGCAAAAGATAGCAGGATTTTCATTTGGTCCCTGAAAATGTATTGCATTTTCTTTGAAGATCTGGGTGGGCTAAAATAATCTTGCACTTATGTTCCTGTCGTCACCCTTAAATGTTTGCGAGTGTAATCTCTTTACTCATCTGTAAACGGGGACAGATAAGGACAGTTATTCCCATTTCTCATAAACATCCGTTTGGTTCCTGGTTATATGTTCTAGAAATATGGGTTCCTACCTAAGGACACTGTGACTCTGGACCCACCCCGCAACAAGTGGTTTTAGGGCTTGCAACTGTGGGACTACTCGGGGGCTTCCCAAAACGTCCACCCAGCTTTCTACGCCCTTTGGGCTACTTACTAAACACAGTATGGAGCAACTGTCTTCCTGAATTAGGTTCTGCGACACCTAAGAAGCCTTGCTACACTTCTCTGCGGGAGAAGTAACGTGTTTAAGGTGAACGGATTAATTTAATTAGAGGTTTAAATTTAGCCTTGGAGCTAATGGGTAACTCTACATTGAAATTCCACTCTATTTCCGCAGAGTAAATTAAGTAGCGGAGAGTAAGCATACACGACTCAGATGTGCAGCCAACCTGGACTCAGAAAGGTGAGTTTGAGTTACCCATACAGGGGACAAGCAGGTCACGTGGCTGTTTGCATGAACAATTGTTCATATGTAATTCTGAGCCATATTTAGACCTGTTAAAAAAGTAGGCCTGTTGTCTACTGCCAGCTCACAACAGTTAAAGTCTAGCGACCAAGTCTGGATTTTATCAGGTTTTTAATTACTTTGACTACCTTGAAACTTCAAGTCACTTTATTCCAACTGACTTAATTTACCTAACCAATTACCTAGCTTTTCTGGAAAGCAATGTTAAGTGAGACTCCAATTCTGCCCCCTGTAAAAGAAAAAAAGTTGCACTATTTTATAACAAAAAAATGATAAGTTTTAAATAAACAGGATGGGGACTCACTAACAGTTCCATTGTCTATGAAAATATTTTAATATTTTTATTATTTTTTGTTTTGAATATTTTTAGTTTGAGTAAGACAGATTTTTTTTTTAATTCTGTCCTGGGCATATTTTCAAACAAAAGGGAAAGCAGACTTCTTGTGCCTTGGGAGTTTGCACGTTGTATGGGGATTGTCTTTCCACATCGCTGTAATGGTTTGTGGTACTCAATTTGATGGAGCACTTTTAAGTTACTAAACTCCTGTGTTAGTAGCGCAACAGTAACAATCTTTCAGTCTTTCGACTATGAAATATACCTACCTATATCTGTCTATCTATTTGTTGCCTTTGGGCACTCAGGGTTGCACTCATTCTTGGCCCCGCTGAGCTTTATCCCCAGCTCTCTTCTTGCTTCTAGATTTTAGACAGAGTCTCTGGAGTCTAGGGTGGCACTTGAGGCAGGCCTTAAACTTCTGGACCTCCTGCCTCAGCTCCACACACAGCTCACCACAGGCTCACGCAGCACCCAGACTATCCTGCAACATTAGCATGTTTTAGTTTAAACCACTTCTGGTGTGGATGGCATGCCCCGTTTTAAGGTCTTCTGTCCAGAGATCTAATTGCCTCCTGAAATTCTTGCTGGGTACTAATACCTTTCCAGCAAACCATTTATTTGACCATTTGATGTAACTGCTTATTTTAAGTTTCAAGTAGGCAAATTGATTTCCAATGTTTATTAAAAGCATCAAACAGGAACCAGTGTCTGTTTAGTCTCCATGTCTCTGTGATCGCCTAGTGGGGTCCTGAGGTATGGTTTATTGTTCCCCCGCTGTGTGTCGGCCAGAGGTGGTGGTGAAGGGCATTGTTGCTGGGGTTTTAAAGACAAAGCACAGAAAAACTCAATCAAATTGCTCATGGCCCCACTGGCTCCCAGACACAAGCAAGTTTCTGCTCCCTCTACTGGTAAGGCTGTCTTATAGGCAGAGTCAGTCTCCTGTTTCATCCTTGAGAGTCAACCAGAGTGGAAACCCAAACTGTGGAGTAGGAGATCTGGGTTCCCAGAGGAGTCACTTAACCTCTCTAAACTCATTTCCTCTATGGTTGCTCTGTTTTCCAGGGGCCGCTGCACAGGAAGAGTCGGCTCGTCCCCGATGCACATCAAGTGCCAGGCCTTATCAACACTGCCCAAATCCTCGAAGGTCCTGAGCTATTTCAGATCCATTCATTATTGAGCGATTTCTGTGTGTGTAGAGCCCGTGTGAGACAAAGGAATAAAAGAAGTGTGGCTTGTGTGCACTTGTACCCTTGCTGTACAAACAGCAGGCAACACGAGCTACATTTAAAGAAATGTTCCAAGCCTGCCGATTGTCAAATGAACAATGGGTTATTAGAATGGGAACACAGAGCTTTTAGGGGTTGGGGGAGATTCGAGACAGGGTTTCTCTGTGTAGCCCTGGCTGTGCTGGAACCTGCTCCCTTGACCAGGTTAGCCTTGAACTTATAGAGTTCCACCTGCTTCTGACTCCTGAGTGCACACACCCCCCCCCCCCAGCTTTGGAAAGGGAGTTTTAAATTTGAAGTGAGACCTGCTTGAGGAGGCATTAAGCAAGGTCAGAATCTGAGCTGCCCTACAAAGTTACTGTGGTCTAGACCCCACAGGTCCATGTGATAAAGGGCTGTCCCTCAAGCAGTCATGGTTAGGAGCTGGGTTGGGTTTTTGGAAGGTCAGCATTGCTGCGAGGAAGTTAGGTCTTTGAATGACCTAACTCGGGAAGGTTGTGGGGGTTCTGATGCCTTCTGCCAGTCACTTAGCATCATTTAGCAGGGGTTTGCTTACCTCATACCCACCTCATTGTGCTGCTTCTTCATGGCTCGAAAGCTTTTGGTGCAATCATTTATGACAGAAAGCTTCAAAATGGTGAATGAAAACAGACCTTTCTTTTAAAATGTATGTGTGTGTGTGTGTGTGTGTGTGTGTGCCTGTGTGTGTGCATGCATGTGTGCCTGTGTGAGTGTGTGTGTGTGTGTGTGACAGTACACATATGGAAGTCAGAGGACAATCCTAGGGAGCTGCTCTTCTCGTTCCACCATGTGGCCTTTGGCATTAAATTCAAATTATCAGACTTGGCAGCTAGAGCTACCTCTCTCCAACCTTTTCTCTATAAGTTGATTAGCTCAAGTATTTGTTAGAGAAATAGGTAACCAACTACACAATTTTGTGTTTAAATTCCTTATGCACTGTGGCCATATAGGGCCAGAAAGTGAAATGTAATTCTCCCCTCAGCCCACCCTCATTTGCACTTTCATATTTCCTCTTCATATTTAGGTTTCAAGTCTGGAAGCTTCCTTTGCCTCCACGGACCCAAAATGCATGCACTGTTTCGATCAACAACTTCAGTACCTGGGCTTTTACAAAAAAGAGGCAGGGGGGAGAGCCTACATAGCTGACCCTTAGAAATAATACAATGAACCTACAAGTCTGAAAATTGGCTTAGAAATGGTAGTGGACATCACTCAGAAGTTGACAAAGGAGAAATAAGTGTATAGACTCAGAAACATCCAGGGTCTGGTGCCAATTCAGACAAGCAGGTCTCCTGCTGGAGTAAGTTCTCGGCTCTGTGTCTCAGTGTTCTGGTATGTCAGGTGAAGCTGGCGGCATTTTACCTTGCGGGCTTGGGAGCATTGCTGGTAATGTGAGTTATATAACCAGCACCGGGCTGTCTGGCACTCACGGTTAAGTATTTTTAGAAAGATCCAGCCTATAGGAGCTTCATAGGAGGACCAGGATGCTTTGGGTCCTAACATTTGTAGCTTCCCTCGCGCAAGCAGGATCAGAAGAGCCTGTGGCCCTTGGCTCCAGTTCAGATCAGGTTATTTTATATGTGTTCCACCAAAACAGAGGCTGTCCCCCACTGCTGGGACACACAAACTAGTGTATCTAAAATCGAGGCCTGGTGTCCTAAGAGGCCTGCTTTCCTGTGCCCAGTGAAATGCCTTAGGCCAAGGCCCCAGGCTTTGAGAAGTTGACCTTGCTTGAATATGTGTCACCTCTGTTGACTTGAGAGAATGGGGACATGTCCACCGGCTCCCCGCTAGTAACTTGTCATGAATATCTTCATTTCTTTCCTTGGTTTTCCCTGGGACTTCTGGGATGCGATACAACATTCGAATAAAATGAGAAGTTGAGGGACAGTAAGTGAAAAACTAAGTCGCTGGGTAATCACAGCCCCAGAAAGCAGCTTATGAAATGTGACTTGTAACTCTCGTCCCCTTATTTCCTAAACGCCAGTCCCTTGCCAGGATCTCCTCTAAGAGCAGGTGAGAAGTGGGCCTCTCCTGGACCTTCCAGTGGAGAACGTCGCTGTCCGCACTGTGATGTCTTCGGTATTGAAGAGAAAGGGACGAAGAAAGCAGGGAAGCGGAAAGCCCCGTGCCAGCCTCTGGCATCGCTCCTAGAACGGCGCTTTGCAGCCTCTCTACCCAGGCCACTCTTCAGCACAGGGCTTCTTTGTGTAGCCCTGGCTGTCCTGGAACTCGCTCTGTAGACCAGGCTGGCCTTGAACTCAGGCCTTTTAATGAACTCAATAAAAGCATGCACCACCACTGCCTAGTACAGGCCAGGGCTTCTTAAACTCTTCCACTTCACAACCCCTTTTGCCAAAGAAATTTTTATGTGACCACAGTACACAGGTATATAAAATAGGTAACACAAAACATTTGCTGGTAGTAAGTCATGAAATTTGCTTAAAACGGTTTTGATACTCATGTAAATTTGCCATTTATTAAAAATGAATTCAAATTTGCACACTAACAATGTATTTAAAGCTGAACCTTGACTGATATTTGACCCTTCAGGTTGCAAAGCCTCTTGGCGATTTTCAGAATTGACCCATCAATGCTGAGAACACCGCTTCACATAGATAACGCAGCACCAAACAGACGCACAGCGGTTAAAGGCCCTTGTTGCTCTTGCAAGAACCCAGGTTTGGTCTCCAGCAACCAGTTGGTGCCTTACAATCATCCTTAATGTCAATTCCAGGAAGTCCAATGTCACACGTAAGATAAATAAATCCTTATATTTTTTAATGACAGAAGTATCTTCAGAGCCATTTCAGAAACTGTTGAATATTCTGTCTTAGTCCCAAGTCAAAAGTTGTTTAATGATTGTAATTGTTGTCAATTTGACTGGATTTAAAATCTCTGAGGAGACATGACTCTGCATAGCCTGCGAGGGTTACAGAAGAAGGATGCGGGCAGCACCAGTCTTGCGCTGGACGCTGCTCCATCACTCCCTGCTACCTGCTTGCAGATGCCCCTGCTGCCAGGTCCACTGTGTCCTGCACACCTTCCAGTCCTTTCCTTAAGGTTATTTCATCAGATATTTTGTGAGCCCAGTGACAAAATAATTAATATGATTTTCTAAGAAACTCATCAGCAACTCAAACAGCAATTTTTAAAACCAAATATTCTAACAGTACTGGTGTGGGAGAATTGTCTGTATTCTGTCAATCATGTTTTAAATAAATGCTGATTGGCCAGGCAGGAGGTGTAGGCAGTAAAACCAGACGGGAAGTGGAAATGATGCAAGGAGAGCAGGAGAATTCTGGGGAGGAGGAAGTTGATTCCTCCTACTCCTGCCCAGATCACCGAAGCAGCAGGATGTGAGCTGCCCCACTGAAAAAGGTACTGAGCCACATGGCTAAAATAGATCAGAATAATGGGTTAATCAAGATGAGAGCGTTAGCTAATAAGAAGCCTGACCTAAAGGGCCAATCAGCTTTATAACTTACGGAGTCCTCTGTGGTTGATTTTCTCTGGGACTAAACAGCTGTGGGGTACTGGGAGGCACAGAAAACACAAACAAGCTGGCCCTCATGTTACACAGTACAATCGGAAGATACACTGATTTGATACTATTATCCTGAGGAGTACCAGAATATTTAAAGTCTTTGACTCTCATAATAAAAACGTTTTATTTAAAAAAAATGTTTTATTTCTAGAAGAGCAGAAAACTTCGGGCGTACAATAAAAACACTTTAACACAGCGGGGTTTGGAAGCACCTTTTCTTCTCAGTAGTCAGGAGAGGCTGAGGTAGGAAGATCTCTGTGACTGGGGCCAACTTGGTCTTCATAGAGACTCTGTCTAAGAAACCAAGAGAAAAATGAAAGAAAAGGCAAAACCACTGTAATGCCTAACATACAGGTCTCAAACCTTTAAATCTGAGCTGTTCTGGCAGTGATCAGTAGAGCTGCTGGTGAGACGGCATGCGTGGCAGAAAGTGTGTGTGTTCTGTGTTCAGAAGCAAGGTCTCAGTGAAGTCACGGGGCAACGCAACAGCCCCAACTCTGCTAGAAATATCTACAATCTGTTATATACTTGATTTTTTAAATTTTTGGTCATTGATCATTCAGAAACCTTTTACTACTGATGAAGTTTTTTTGCAATCTCCATGTTCAGTTACTTGGCCCAGAGTTAAGAAGCAAGGGTCTAGGACACCATCAGTATCTCCCTACTTCCTCCCATGGTTTTGACCTCCAAGTCTCTGCTTCCTGCCTAAGAGCTCACCATTTTCTCATCAATGGCACCAGCAACCTCCAACACTGTTCAAGCCAGGCTTAAGTGGGAGCATTGTTAGACACCTGATGCCCGTGGAGACAAGAAGACCTTGTTGTGGGATAATCTTTTTGTACACTGTGAAAATGTGTCTTTGCTAAGGCGCCTTCTGATTGTTTAATAAAGATCTGAACAGCCAATAGCTAGGCAGGAGAGGATAGTCAGGACTTCCGGGGAGAGAGAGAGCTCTGGGAAGAAGAGAGGTGGAATTTGCTAGTGAGACCCTTAGGGAGTTGGATGTACAATACGGAGGAAAGACAATGAAGACGTGGCAGAACTTAGATTAATATAAACAGGTTCATTTAAGTTCTTAGAGCTAGTTAGGAACAAGCCTAAAATAAGGACAATACTTAATAATATGTTTTCATGTCATTATTTGGGACCTGGCATTTCAAAGAAAGCCCAACTGCACAGTATTTTACTGTATTTTACTGTGCACAGTCTTGTGGTTTTTATGACTTGTGTGCAGAGCTGAGAAAACTAGCCAGCAGGTTTACTCGCGTGGAGGAATGGACTGCTCCGTAACTGCATGATGGTTTGTGAGGAGCCGTACTCTATGCCAGGCATGGGTGTCAGTCCCTCACCCACCTGAGAGCACTTCTGGGCAGCCCTTCCTCTCCTCAGTCTCATTAAAGGACAATGACAACAGTGCAGGAACATTTAGTCTTTAGTTTTTCTCAGATTCTTTCCTGGGTGTAGCTCAACCAGTTGCAGAAGGAAGAGGGACACACAAAACCACCCTACTTCAGTCAGTAATTAGTTTCTCCTCCTATCTTCCTTAGTTCATGGCCACTGGGCTTCTCCTCAAGTA